TGCACTGACACAGGATGGGTTTGCGTTGGCAATGCGATACGGCAGTCATTCCACATCATGAGTTACATGTTTATGTAATTTATATTGTCGCTCGTCCAGCAACGTCAAGGCTCTGCATGTAAACACAGGAGAACACCATAATAAAAAATACTACTCATACTCAGGGGATAATATTATAATTTTGGATTAGCAATTTCGTGCCATTTATGGGTTCCTGTCTAAACCATGCCGTGATATTGATTTCTATCTGCTCACAGAGTACCTTGTATTGTAACAATGCTCTGCATAATCACTACCCTCCGCCAATTATTAGATTCACACAATATCCACAACGTATGCAACACAATGCTGTCTATTGACACTACTTCGAACTGAAATACTTACTACTCTTCTCCCGTTTTCAGCTCCCTCTACCTTATGAATACTCTACATTACTGGTTTCGTTTCTACCCTTTCCATTGCTGCCAGCTCCCAGTCTTTTTCAATGCACAGCACCACCTTGAAATTTTTGTGATTTGATGTACACATACTTTGAAGTTGAAATTCGAACTACATGATCAGATTTTTGTTCCACATTTTCTATTTATTTTTACTTCAAGCACAACCCTACCGATGAAGGGAAAAAAGCAGCAGAGAGACACCTACTGAGTCTAATGACTACCACTGTCAGTTCTCAAACAAAAACAATTTTTGTCAAATTGAAAAATCTCACCTGTTAGTGTTGCTCACTAGCCACTTGTGACTAGAGAGTTGTTCGTCCACGAAATTTGCAATATGCCACTACGGTACCAGCAAGAGTAGGTAAGTTGGCATAGAACAACAGCTATGCACAGCCATGTTCATCTCCTCTTCACTTTGGAAGGCAGTACACCCTTCATACCTCGACATTGCCTTGGGGTGGAAGCAAATTCACCATGAGTTTTCCAATTCGCTACAATCGATCTCGGGGTGATGATCGTGTCTTCTTCATCACCACTGCAGCCTGGACAGCCTTCGGGAAGACATGTGTCACTCTCCTGCTCAACAAATTCCTACATCTAGATTTGGTTACCGTCAGGGAACGAAATAGAGCTGCAAAACACCAAAGTAATTGTTTTCTTCCATTCAATTACATTGCTGAGCATGCACAGCATGGTGACAGCTAAGCAGTACGCACGTCATCAAGCCCAATTTCCAAATATGGAAGGTGTTATTTATGAAATTTGACACGGTTCCTCTTCTCTGATCGGCTCGAGACATAGCTCATCGGAATCAGTGCCCAATTCCCCTTCGGATAAGCCATACTTATTTTTGGCGTTCAGTTTCCCTTTAACTGAATATGCCCATAAAGTCATGTTCTGAGACTGCATGTTGGAGTTAGATTTCATTTCGTAGCTAATGTGCCATAGCTCATAACACCTGAAAGAAATAATCCAATACACCCATCAAAAGCCAATATTGATATACAGCTGCACGTGATGAAGAACTCAATCAGAACTGAGTGACACTGCCTGTCATTCCAATAGAGTCATATGCGTGAGGAACAGACTAAAATATACGATGCTGTTATCATTTGAGAAAATAGATGTGTAATTCTGATAAAAATCAGTGCAGCACTGCCATGCCGCTGTCTAGGAACGATCCCAGACCAGACCGGACATAATAGCGTAAGCGTCTGGTGCCGATGCCGATACAGGTCTATATGATACTTCCCACAGGTCTAACGGAACAATCACTGAATGAAAAACACAACACGCAAACCAAACAATGAAGCAGAAGAGATTCAATGGTAGAACAAAAATCGCAGCAGTGGGAAGAAATAGTTCAGAACCGTCCATCCAAACCCCAACCACCACCCCTGCCCAAGCAATTACTTTTATAGCCTGCTCAGGATGGCATGTCAACAATGATTGGCCATGTTCAAGTCCGATCCAACTCGGGTAAGCATTCAGTAAGTGGTGAGGCCAAACTTGCCAGAATAGTCAGCCTAGTTTTGCCATAAGCCTCTAGCTGAACCTCTGGCCAAAAGTGCAAAATCTATCCCAAACCCCGACCACCACCCCTAGTGATTACTTTGTAGCTTCCACATTGGTCAAACTGTCTCAGCCAATAGGAGTCTTTCACGGACTGCTTCACACCTGGAACTCAGATCAATGGTGGAGCAGAACTGGCACCAACTCAACATCTCAACATGCATTTCACGCGATAAATCAATTTCAGTTGCGGCTATAGAGGTCAATAAGTGCAGTCTGTAGACGCCGGTCGCGCTTACTAGTATTATGGTTTGGACATGTCATTTGCGAAGGGAAGGACACTGTGTCCTACAAAGCCCTTCACATGCCAATGAAGACAACAGATATAAAGAAGCCCAGAGGTCGCCCAGTGACCAGATGGGTAGACAGCATAAGGAATGGCCTTTTACTTCTCAACATGTCTCTTTTGGAAGCGGAGCAATTTGCCTCAGACAGAACGCACTGGCTCGACGGTGTTGACAGATGCATGACCCTCATTTTATTTTTTTCATAGGAGCTATATGCTTCTGTATTATTATTATTATGGAAAGAGAAAAAAGAAAGAGAAAAGGACCTAACAGTTTCTAGTTATGACTAACAGTCCACCAAGGTAACGAGATAATATACAGTCAAATAGTGCGACAACAAGGCACAAAGGGATATTGAGACATTCGACGACCTGACACCTAGCTCCAACACGTTATCCCTGTCAGTTTTGTGCCTTGTTGTCACACTATTTGACTGTATACTGTAAGACATGTTATTATAACGAGTCGCAAATTTAACGATTGTGCAAAATTCATAGGTTAACGAGAAGATATGTTAACGATCTTGCAGTATTCTGCCATATCCACACACAGCATATATGAAGCAGTACGGCCTCAACGGATCTTATTATAACGAAGAAATGTCATCCGTTAAAACGTTTGATTTGCTTCCTCGTTATATATACATGTCTTACAGTATAATCTCGTTGCCATGGTGGACTGTTAGTCATAACTAGTAACTTTTAGGTCCTTGTCTCCTTACATATTACTATTGGCTCAACATCCGAGTTTGTATTTTTTTTTACAGGTTGTACGAATGATTCAGGAGGTGAGTCAGTGGCGCTAACAAGAGTATATAACCTCCCAAGAGTGTGCAACTCTTCATATGGGTCTCCGACGGCGAACACACATGCCTTGCATCACTACAGCATGCCCAAGTGACTAGGCATTGGTTGCACTATCCAAAATTCAAGACAGCTAGGCTGCGATTACATCATCAGTTGGGATGCTCTGGTGAAGTCGCGGCAAAGCCCTGCACTAGCAACTCACGCTGCATACATAGCGCCCACAAGCAGCTCAGCCCACCCCATGAAATCATTCGCACCTCTGCACTAGCGGCAATTACCATGCAAACACTATGAATAGTTAAACGGGTGTTCACTGATAAGAACTGAAGTGGATATGAAGCAAAATGAATTGAATTGATATGGAAGCAGTGTGGGGACTACTGAGCCGGGACTTACAGAAATCATTTTCACCAAGGTAGACGTCAAATGTCTGGCACTTTGAGCATTCTCCCACCGGAGATATAGTGTAGTGGAGCTCACCAGATACCTGAACAATAGTACACATGCACGCACACACACATACACACACACATACACACGCACGCACGCACACGCACACACACACACACACACACGCATAATGCCATATATCCACAATCATTATATTCCTATTCATGATGACATACCCACTGGCAGAGATTTCTACAGTATTTCTTAGATACGTTGCACCCAGCGTACACAATCTGCACTTTTTTGGGGGGATCTTTGCCGTATAGTTTCAGTGCGTTTTACCTGAGTAATAAGTCACCCTTGATTGGAAGTCGGACACAGATGCGAGAACCTGATATCAAACCGGCGTTCGGATATTGTATTAAAAAGGCGTTGATAGTTTGGAGCTACATACGACCAAGACACTTGGAGAAATGCCAGTGTCGTGAAGAGGGCATAGACATTTTGCACCACGAAGGCTCCGGGTTCTTCGGAGGTTCAGAAGAGTTTGTACATTCAAAGCCTGGCTTGAGAGCACGGGAACATCTGTACACAGTTCTATTGCACGTCTACGTTTCTTGACAAGCATTCCACACAGTTCACATAGTGACAATGAGTGAAGCAGAATGTCTAATATTATAGTGTATAATAGAACACTACAGCATGCAGGACGTGTATTCAGTGTCTTAGCTGCACTAGTAACATATGACATGTATCTGCATGACAGCACTGTTCCGATGCACCAGTCATGTGCACAATGACTATACGAGTACGTGCAGTTACTTGCATACCTGTCCAATCCAAACTGCCAGGTCATTCTCTCCTTGCACAAGGCCAAGCTGCAAAAACCACAATGCACAAATTGAAATTACACAATATTGGATACATGCATCTGTCCCAAGCACTGTCTAATACCATATTATTACAGTAACTGCATGGCAGTGCGGTATACAGAAGCAGCATGATAGAAGAGATAGTGTGTTACTCAGTTCCAGGTCTACATTACCAGTACGAGTGTGCGTGTGTGTGTGTGTGTGTGTGTGTGTGTGTGTGTGTGTGTGTCTGTGTGTGAGAGAGAGAGAGAGAGAGAGAGAGAGAAAGAGAGAGAGAGAGAGAGAGAGAGAGAGAGAGAGAGAGAGAGAGAGAGAGAGAGCAAAAGGATAACAACAGTATACTATAAATATCTCGACGAGATTGATGAAAAGGCTAAAACACAGCCAGAGAGTCATTTCTTCGGTCAGGACTGCCTCCTCCGCAATCTAAAAGGAAGTCTAAACATAACTGAAATACCCTACTGTGTATGCTGAAGCTACTGTTTTTGCTTCAAATCCTCCGTGTCCTCTGGGATAGGACAGTACTACTTCACAGGAGTATGCCTTTTTTTAGGAAGAAATAAGATTGTGTTAAACATCTGCAGGTGCAGGAAACACACAACTCCCACGAGACGCATGGTTAAGCCCCTGTTCTTACAGATTGAGACGTAAACTCTCCTGCTTCTTTCTTCTTCCCAAAGGACGTTATAACAGTGTTATACTGTGATGCCTCGGCTGCTGGTGGTAGGAAGTCTGGACGACGATACAGCTTACGGAATTCCTTGTAGGCTTTGATCTCACAGTTTTGCCTGGAAGGCAGAGAAAGCAGAAGAAACACATAATCAGCAAACATACCAATACAGGAGCGTAACTTTCCCCTCTTTGGGGGGGGGGGGGGGGGGGTGCAGGGCCGCTAGCTGTATCATGCGTGAAGGATGGCTGGCGCATTCATCGTGGTCATTATGTGCATGCTAAACCTTGGTCGAAATGTTTAGGGGGGGGGGGGGGGCACTTGCCTACGTGCCCAATGCGGGCTACGCGCCGCCTGCAATATTTACACTTGTAGAGCAATATATTCACGAGAGATCAAGCACAGTGCATGTAACAGTCACGTGGGATATGACAAATGTATTGCCCTTGTGATTGGGCAGTACGGGCTCCGATGCCCCTGCACTCACTGCACTCACGGCCAAATCCTATGTACAGAAGGATTGGTTTACAGTGCGTTTTTTAAAAGGTCACACATGGCCTTGAAACACAAATATGTGTAATTCAAACTGTCGCTACTTTGAGAATACTAGACCAAATTGTGCTATTGAAATTTGAAAGGTCTATCGGCATCACAAAAACGTTCAGCTGTCGTCTCGAAGAAACCCGAAGACGATACGAGGTCCTGGAGCCGAGTTGTGCCACGCGAACAAAAATAACGTCTCGAGTTCTAGGAGGGTGTAAAAATGCACTTTCAGCCGGGGATTTCCCCATTTCCGCATTTGCCTAGCCAGCCAGCTGTAGCGATGCAATCAGGCTACGATGATCCAGACGGGTCTTTGCAAGACTGGCAAACTCTTCCATGGGTAGCAACAACAAATTCCTACATGCCATGATTTCCTGGATTGCATGCCTCACAGCCAAACACTACAGTACTGTCGGTTGCCGAAGAACTGGGGGGGGGGGGGGGAGGTCAGCCTCCTAGCCTAGTCGGAGTCCGTTCTTATTTTCATGTACTACAGTCGATGGGCAGTTGAGACCTCGTGTATACATTGGTATGCTGTGCTTGATGAAATTCTAGCCCGGTCGTTCTTCGGCACCTGACAGTACTGTATAGTGCACCCTACTTACCACGCTGCTGAAAACGAAGTCACATCCTCTCGTTTGCCAAGAGCATCCAGTACGTCTTCGAAGGTGTCTCTTGGGCCGACAATCTGGCAGTGTGGACCTGTTGAAAAGTTGTCTCTCAGCACCTTTGATTCCTTATAGAGCTACAAAGAGAGAGAAGCCCAAGGACAGTACTACAGTAGATATACTCATACAGAACATAAGAACACCATGATACGCCGTTGCACCAGGCGTCCCTTGGACTGATAGGGACAGACTACGAGCACCCCATCACACAACACTTGGTAAAAGTCCTATGGAGCTAATTCCAATCCCATAGTCACAAAGAATTCTCACACGTCTTCAAGTAGCTTTGGAAAGATCTTTCTATGACAGCAATATACACCACAGAGAATGTTTCAAGCAGGCACAATAGCAGTGATATTCACATGGAAGTACCTTGTAAATATCATCAAGATCCAACTTGTTGTTGACTGCAGGCCAGGAGCCCAGTGCTTTCGTAATGACAACAGGAACTTGGATGTCCAGGAAGTCATTCATGATCACTGATGGTGAAGCTTCTGCAGCTGTTACACTCTCAATAGCATCACCTAATTCCTTGCAAATATCACAGCTCAGCTGAAAGGGAACAAGAGAAATGTCAAGAGCAGAGGCAGCTATTAGTTTGGCTCGAGCTGTTCGGCTATTATATAACGTGGCGCAACGATCACGTGGTCAGTGGCGACATTTGGCTTTGGTATCCCACACCATCATGCAGATTTGGCTGAGATTAACAAGGTAACAGGGGCGTCACAGCCGGTCCGGCTTTGGCCAGACCACTTTTTTTAACACAATGCCAACAGTGCCCAGAATGCAGGATTTTCACCCTAATTTCAAAATGTTCACGTGAGACACCCCGGACCCCCTCCAGCGGACCACCTCCAACTTCGGTGCTACGCGCCTGGGTAAAGGTGATCATAGTTGACATGTGTGCAGCTACTATGTTAGGTGAAGCCTTGCTTAGTAGTACGGAAACAGAAAAGCGAGCGCTCACTAGCGCGTAGGTATGTGCGGGTGGGTGCTGGACTATATTCGCAAAATATACCACATGGCCACATGGCCAAATCATCGTAGGTGAACAGCTGATAAGTGTTGCATGGTTTGCTACGCCAGGTGTTCGTTTCATGTATGGACTACAGTCTTACGATTGCGGTAACCACCACACGGTGACGCACAGTACCCGTGTGTTCAGTAAGCCATATACTACCACTGCAAGACAGCACAAAGCCAGGGCTTATGAGCAGAGTACTGAGTACCGTATTCTACCAATAGAAATCGACCCTGGGTATTAGTCGACCCCAGGTACATTTGTATATTAAAGCCCCATAATTGGAGCCTCCATGTCCCGGCTCAAGAGCAGCTAGATCCTGGTTATAAGCTGATTTTTAAATACGGTAGCTCTATTGTCTGCTGCTATAGATGATATGCCAAATAAGCGCTCGAAAAGTTGAGAGGGCATGCGATTGATGCGCCCAGGCTTAGCTTGTCAAGTGCATGGGATGTGCAAAGTACACGGATTTTAGGCTTGTTGCGCGCTTACGCGATCAGGTGCTGCACGTGCATGAATGGAATGCATGCAGTTCCACTGTTACCGCATTTTAGCATTCCGTCGGAGAAAAATTTCGGATGGAGAAAAGGAACTCTGACACCTTTGTGCATAGTTTACTTTCAATTTTTCATTTTGATACCCGGATATGGCAGTAAGAAATAGTACACCAGCAATTGCTTCTCGTTTTGCGAACCCACCTGTGGCCAAAGTGTGGGCGAAACGATTGCTAGATGGACTTTTGCTCAGCTGAAGACTTACGTGAGGGAGAGATACCGGTAGATGGAAAGCGAGATGATTTGTTGCAGAGGTAAGACCGAAAGATTTTATTTTATTCCCAACGCCCCAGAGCCTAGGACAGGGGACAATGATGGCAGTCGGCGCCGAGCAGCGAAAGGGCGATGAAAATCCGTTCCTCCTTCACTGGTCGCTACAGCAGCGAATACCTTGACACCATCTGCATCGGGAACAGAAGAAGCTGCTTCTCCGGTGAATCCATCAAATCATAGATGCTGCTCAACAAACAGACGCAGAATTTCCCGCTGAGGCCTGGACCCATCGCTCGGAGGATTAGCTATGTGGTGTTTCTGCTAGTGCTGTACTCCAGCATCTTCAGAATCGAGAAAGTACCTAACGACACAGAAACCATTCGGGGATGAGTCCTTCTTCTCGCCATTAGTTTAAAGTGTTGAGTGTTGCTTCCCAGAGCCAAATAATTCTGGACCGCAGAGATACTTTGTCAAGGCTAAGTGTTGGGCATCTCAAAAGAAGAAGAAGGAGAGCTAAGTGTGTGCTACAGTGCTAAACTAGAGAAAAGCATGTACTCGAAGTGATGTCTGCATATTGCACTTGCACTGCAGCATTGCATGCTCCTTCCACCACATAGTCATTATTGCATTGCTGCTGACCCTCAACTATTGTGAGATGAAAGGTCAATACCTGGCATATGCAACCTAGCAACAACAGCAATGGGGCCCAAGGGCCAAGGAACGTAGTTATGAAAACCCCTTATCAACCACCTGGGCATACTGACACTGGCAACATTGATTTGCTTTTGGACTGGGAAATCCCGCCTTCCTTATCCCACATCACAGAGAAGGTGCTCCTAACAGAGGCAATAGCAATAGAGCGCCGTCCCCAACAGCAGATTGGCAGCTGCATATGGCATAGGATGAGAAGCAAGACCCTGACTGTTTCGCGGCTTCACCTCATCCCTCACCCGAGTGAGATCACATCAGCGTTTCTTCCGTCATTGCTCCAGGCAACCAGTTTCTCATGTGCTTTCGCTATTAGTCAGGGCCAGCACAAATAGAAGTTGTTCTATTTGTATTGTATTTAATATTTTACTAGGGCAATCCCTGCAGACAATACGCCTTTTTTCAGGGTGCTCGAGGTAAGTGGGTAAAAAAAGTTGAATGAAAAACCGAGGCTGCATACTACGCCATTACCATGATTACGTATTGCTAAGGAGGTTACTGGTTGTTATAATATAACAGCCTTCTACGCAGCCTCTGCGGCATGCCGAAGGAGGCTGCCTAGCAGCACTCCGATGGAAGAAAACTCCAGCTATCAGAGACCAGGTACCTGTATGTTTCGCAAAGAGAAGCCATGTCGTGAAGAAGCATTAGGTAGGGCTAAAGCGAGGGTGTACTATCCCCTGTCCAACATTGTGCACTTGACAAGCTAAGCCTGCCAGGAGCATCAATCGCACGCCCTCTCAACTTTTCGAGGGCTTATTTGGCATATCATCTATTCAGATAGTGTTTGCAAGTGACCAGGAGTTGGAGGTGTCACAGGAGCAGGATGTGTAAGTCACCTACTACAATCCTGGAATTGCTTTTTAGCTAGCATTCATGTGAGCTTATAGCTAGCATTCATTGGAGCTGCAGGGATCTATCGGTATGGAGGAATGAATTACGCACAATGGCCTAGTTGGTACAGGTCTACTCTCCATATAACGTAATCTCTGGGACCACGCAAACATTATGTTATATTGAGAGTTATGTTATGTAGAAAACCGTGTGTAAAATACAAGATGCACCTCAAAATGAAGGGTATTACAAGGCGGGGTTAACCGTGCAAACATATACACACTGTACCACCATCGACATCAGATACCATCAATGCCGCAGAATATTATGCACATAGGACTAAACTGGCTAGCTACGGCTACAGCTTGATTGTGCCGCGCACGTGAATCTATCTACGTTGTATCGAGAGTGTACACATCGGGGACTGCGCCGTAGGGTGCGTTATGCCGAGGTTTACGTTATGTAGGACGTAAACTGGCCAAATTGCCTAGCTACAGCTACCGCTTGATCATACCGTGCACGTGAATTTATGTTGTATTGAGAGTGCGCACGTCGGGGACCGCCGTAGCGTGTGTTATGTCGAGGTTTATGTTATGTAGGATTATGTTGTGTAGAACAAAATTTGTATGGGAGTGATGCTGTTTCGGCGCGGGATTTGACTTTTTTATGTACTAACGAGGTTTATGTACAAGTGAGAGTTGTTATATCGAGAGCAGACCTGTACCAGCAAGTCTCTTGCTCCGGCTCTTTTTCTTCTTCTTTTTTCCGTTGACCATTTCAAATTCTCTGACTTGTAACAGCTAGGTGACTGTTCATTCTTCACTGGCCACATTTCAGTAACAAGAGTCCACTGTGAAAACGATGAGCCTTGGACTTCGCAAGCCTGTTTCTGCCAATTCTTGCCTTGAAATCTGATTCTAAATCGGCAACGGTGGGTTTTGACCCACCACTCTGCACAATACGATAACTTAGTCACAACAATAAACCTGTCCTGATCACATAACCTGGCCAAGATCATGCTTTGTAATTCCGCTATCTTTGACTTTTGCAATTCCAAACTTTGACTAGAAAGGGTTACATGGGCATTCTGAAGAAATTTGCTAATATGTGGTAGAAAAATCCAAGTCCGCCACGTTATCAATTTCTGAATGCATCATAGGGTGATCTTGAAACATGGTCTCCACCTAACAGTGTGTACTGTGGCTAACCTCTTGAGTTGGCTCCTCATACAACGGGTTGTTGACAAGGCATTGGTCATTGTACATCTTGGTGAAATCGTAGTACGGAATAAACTGCAAACACATAACATGCCAAATTCCGTGTTTCTTACAGCTGAAGACATGTGAAGTTTACATAAACACAGTCATAGTGAATAAGACTGATTCCCTGCCACCATGTTAAACACAGCCTGGCATGGTGTTGCGCCGTATACCTGAAAACACTGGACGGTGAATGGGTGCACAAGATGAAACCGGATTGAGGAGATTTGTCAGTGTATTGTTGTAGGCGTGAACACCATCATGTATACAGGCAAGTTTACGAAGTCAATCCAGACAAGGAAGATTGCCCATTGCTAGGTTTGTTGGCACCTAAATGTCCCCAACAGCAGTGGGAACAAATCGGAGTTTGTATACAGTAAAGTCTGAAGAAAAAAATTGACTGTCACCACCAGTTTGCATACAGTAAATATTATTTCAGAAAGCTTACTGGGGAGTAAGACTTCTTATTCATCTTGAAACACTTGACTGACACAAGCCTGAAAAACTCCTCTTGTTAGGGGATAAGAATTAAAAGCTAGGGCTGAAACAATCGTGGATTTTCACCTATCGATTACTCTTTGGCTTAACGATCGATTAAGCGATCATAATTGTTAGTGAATCATTGAGGGTCAGAATTTTGTGCAAAAATTACTCTATTTCCACACGCTTTGTCTTCATGATACCAAAAATCTGCATTAGTGAAAGACTCGGTAGCTCCCGAAACATGGGAGTTTTGAAGTCAATTGAACCTCAAAACATGAACCATACCCCTGGCAACTGCATACTCACAGCGGAAACTGATTTAAACAAACTCCACAAAACGGGGGGGGGGGGGGGGGGTCAGTACCTTTTGGACTCAGGATCCCATTACTGATTCAAACAAACTCCACAAAACGAGGGGGGGGGGGTTCAGTACCTTTTGGACTCAAGATCCCTAACGAGTAATCTATAACGTAACGATTTGTTGATTGTTAAGGAATCATCGATCGATGACCGAGTAATTGGTATAATCGTTTCAGCCCTAATTAAAACCCATTATTTTTTCTTTGTCTGAGTGGCAAAGCGAAAGTCCTCTGGAAAGGGGACATAACGATGCATCTGTGTGGCTGAGTCATCAAACATTTGGTGGACCTGAGCTGTGGAGGCTGGATCAATCGGCCAGTAATCGAGAGCTCCTTGGCTGGATCCCCACTCCCCAGTAGGCGCTACCTGACTTTTCCGGCTCAAGTCAGAAGAGTTTCAATTCAAATTATATCTTATTATCATGTCCACTAATCTTTGTGCTACCAATCACAGTCAATCAAAATACCAGTACTACAATTTGTCACTTGTCTATAAAATGACTCCACCCTTGTACATGCCTGCCAACCTTTGTGAACACAAAGCCAGTACTATGAAAATAGTGAATAACGGACTGATGTTTTGGAAAAATGTAAGCATATGTGTGTAGCATGCATCTGTTTGAAGTGATTCGGTCGTTTGTTTCTTTTATAAAGTGATGAGAATGTTAATTCACTTAAAATTGGACACATTCATATCATATCATATGTTAGGTTTACGGTTCTGATCACTGTGGAAATTGGTAGTCGAATGTAGCGAACCATGAGGACGCGAGTAATTATCTCTGCTTGTGGTTCAGAAGAAGAGTGCCCTCTAACATGCGAAAAGAAAAGAAAACGAACAGATCGGTTTCCGGACAATAGGGTGACCAATTTCGTTTATTGGTTTAGTTGACCAGAAACAAGCCATGCATCTAGCCTCACGTCATACAGAAACAAGCCATGCATCCAGCCTCACGTCACACGCCATGCATCCAGCCTCACGTCATACTTGGTTACCGATCAGATACTCTAGGCTCCTCACTAATCAGGTTTGAATACAGTCTTGCGACACCACCACGGTTTCGTCTAAGGTCAATTTTCAGGATGATAACGGGGCAAAAAATGGGGAGGGTTTTCTTGGTCGTCGGGCGGGCCGTCGGGTTAGCACCTCGACATTGGGCCGGTTGGCAGGTATGCCTGTGCATATGAATGCAGGGCCGGCGCCACTGGTACGGCCGGTACGGCCATGGCCGTACCAACTTCCCAAAAAGCCGGTCCGCATGGAACGTCCAAAATCGGGGAGAAACAGTTTTGATGTATGATTTTTGTACAGGGAATCGCCCAGAGTGCAGGATTTGCCGTCTAAATTCCAAAAACATTCTGGGGGAGGACCCCCAGACCCCCCTTAAAGATGGCCCTTCGGCCGCACCGCTCTGCAGAAGCTGCCTCCGGTCCTGGAATGCAGCGACATACCCTTTTAGACCATTGTACAGCAAGTGTGGTACTGTAGCAGGTATTGACATCTGTTGAGAAGTCAAGCGGCCACGGGGCGCTGGCCTTGCAGCCGCGAGCACTGCTGGTCCATTTTACAGCGTGTACATGAACCACAGGGTATGTTCACGCTTAGGCATAAAGGCATAAAGGGCGCAGACTTCACGCTAAGGCATAAAGGGCGCAGACTTTCCACAGGATTTCAAGGACAAGTACATTGTGGTACGAAAAAGGATTATTTGTTTTCACGCAGACTCTCCGTGAATTGACTACTGTAAGACATGTATATATAACGAGGAAGTAAATCTAACGTTTCAACGGATGACATTTCTTCATTATAATAAGATCCGTTGAGGCCATACTGCTTCATATATGTTGTGTGTGGATATGCCGAATACTGCAAGGTCGTTAACTTATCTTCTCGTTAACCTATGAATTTTTGGACAATCGTTAAATTATTTGCGACTCGTTATAATAACATGTCTTACAGTATGCATTGTAACCATTAACAATTATTGTGTTCTTTACCTGTATGCTTGCCAATCTAGCGTGGGCTGATATCCAGTTGTAGGTGGGGTTGAAGTAAAATGCTCCGCAGAGGCTGGCTACCAGGAACGAATAAATGCACACGTATCGTAGTAGCTTCTTCCTTCGCACTTGATGTGCAGCGTTTTGAAAATAGCCAGCACACTGCCGTGTCTCGTGATCGTTCAGCCCTGCTGAGCGGCATCTCGCCAGCAAATCTTCCAGCTCCTCATTTATCAGCTTTACCTTCTCACTTTTTTGCAGGAGAATTTCCTTGGACGTTGATGAAGCTCTAACAGAGCTAGTTGCAGCTGGTTCCGCTGGTTCTGTTTGTGTGGTTGCCTTGCCTTTCTCCTTGCCCATCGCAACGATATTGGATACCCGCCAAAATACCCTAGGAAGATCTAAAATGATGAACCGATCAAAATGCGACCACTAAGTCTAAAGCAACAAAGAAAGCTCGATTCAACAGAAACGCTACACTGACATCTATCGCATTGATTACTAGTTCACTCCGGGAAACCGTTTCTACTGCACTGGTACTAGTGGTAGCGCTGCATGTAGCGTTCTTCTTCTTGTTGCAGTCTCGAGCGGGCTGTTTCGGCGAGCTATCGGCGCCGGCCCGTCTGTTCTTCCACACAGTTAGCAAATGTAACTACTAGTCTAGTTTTGTAACTACTTATAATAATTGTAGACTACTACAGTACTAGTAGTTCAGCATAGGTCATGTAGCACTGCGACTCCTGTACTCAGTCAGTGGTCATCGCATCATGGTTTCTTCACAGCCTCACAGCCTAGGTCAGTAGAGTCATCTGGTCATGGATGCGTGAAAACTAAGTTTACTTCGCCTACATCAGATTAGAGATGTTATGTGACCTGGTGACATGTCGTCGGTGTTGATCGCGATCGATCGGTGGTGAAGTGTTTTGCTCCCGTACTACTACTACTACTACTAGTACTACTACATGTACTGGGCCGTAGATCTACTTCTCACGTGCGCTCTGATTAGATGCACCAGTATACCATGGTATGGTGACTATACCAGTCTACAAATTACAATGTAGTATAGTCTTTGATTCGTTGAGATCGAGTAAAAGCGACTCCTTGACATGCACTGCACTGACTGTCGACATGACATAGTCATTGTCTTCATGTAGAATCTACTACTACTAGTACTAGTAGTAGTAGATCTACCGGTAGATACATGCTCCAAAGCTAGCACAATCATAATGTGTATCGATAAAAAAAAGGTTGGAGAAGTTTTCAATTTCCGGGAAGTCAGAACTGTAAACTAGGAAAGGAGAGACTTCCTCATCATGTTTCAACTAACTTTTATAAGTACATGGACATGTACGTCGACCCTTATGGGGCGGAACCCGGGGTATCTCTTCTGGCAGAAGTTCTGCTCCGCTCATGATCATGTTGGGCTTGTGGCTTGACTTCAAGTAAGTATTAGTTCAACTCGATCAATGAGCCATGGTCTTTGCCTTTTGCCCATTTTGCAATTTTTGGCCGCTCGCGTAGCAAGACACAGAAGCATGCTAGCACTGAAGTAAAAATGCATTGCATTGGCATAGGATCGCGCGGCTCCCGCGTCCGGATCATGAAGTACGGAAGTCTGCAGATCTAGATGATTGTCTGTAGAGTGTAGTCTAGAGTAACAGTTGTGGCAAGTGACCCTGTGGCCAGGGCCTGTACTGGGCCTGGCTGGGGAGAGGGGGTAAACGGGTGCCAGGGCAGGATGCTCATTGACCTAACGCGGTTAGGTTCTTGGAGAAGAACTAATATTTGCTGGCAGTGTCGGTGTCCGTCGTGGTGTTGCCTGTTGGCTTGCTACACGGTATCTACGCTGAGATGGGGGAGGAACAACTAGAAAGTTAGTTACTTTGAACACCGGCCGGTCGGCCGATCAGCATTGCTCTTCGCGTCGCGCTGAAACCTGCGGCAGGGATCGAGTAGATACATGACTTTCGTACATGTCATGATCAAGCCTCATATCAAGGGTAGATCTACCATGCGGATCTACAGTCTGACGGTATCATGCAAACTGCCACACACACGTAGATCCACACGCCGTGTCCTTGCCTTGGCCAGTCGAATGACCAGTGGAACGGGCTTGGCGAGAGCACGTCGCCTTGTCGGAAGTTTCGCGCTACACAGCCCGCAGTAAAGTAACATTAGTTCTTACTCGCTCCGTCTCCGCACAACGGTGGCGACCATGTTGCTGCAGAGTGTTACAGCTGTTGACAGTGTTGATGAGTGCTAGCTATCCCGTCCTTGACTTTGTGTAACATTCAACGCGACTACGAGCCACGAAGAGCTAAATCGAGCGCGTAGATCACATGTGCAGTGGCCCAAAAGTGGGCATAGCACTATTACTATTACTATTAGCAGCATGGGCCTTCGGCCTTCGGTAGACCATGCATGGTAGACTAAGACGTAGACGGAGAACTCGCGAAGTGCTAACCAGTGCTAGCGAGTAGCGGTTACTTTTCAGTGGTGCTGAGTTTGTCACCTACTGTGACCTAGTGACAGTAGAGTAACGGAGTCAGTCAGTGGGTGCATACCAGCCGTCACATCAGGCGGTTTCGTAGCTGAGTGGTGGTCACACTCTACTCGCAGTCCTTTCGCCCAGGTTGGCATATGTTTACGGGTGTGTTTCCTTGAAATCACGACACACAGCCAGGAGGCAGCAGGTCGGTTGCAGTGTTGAGCAGTCTGGACAGAAGTTGTGAGCGACAAGAAACGCTCTCAGGATCCAATAGTCGGAAGACACAACAACAAGTACTCTTGGTTTCTCCAGCCCCTGAAAACTTTGCAGTGAAAAGTCAAACCTGCCATCAGGGTGTGATCGTAAGGCAAAATTGTGAGTTTGTGCGAAGGAAATAGTTTGTCGGAGAGGATGCCTGACGGCGGAATTGCTCGGCTCAAACAAGGGTGGCTGATCAAGCAAGGTGGTCGAGTCAAGAACTGGAAGCGGCGATTCTTCGTTCTGGATGGCAACAGGAGGCTAACGTACTATGTCAGTGAGGCTGATGCACGAGCTGGTGTCAACCAACTTGGAATTATCGACCTGGATAAGGCGCTGTTTGTCAAGCCACGGGGAACACAAGCTCGAGGCTCAGCGAATATTGCATGGCCTGCAAGTGTGTCCAGTGACTTCTGCTTCATGATCATCACGAACGACCGTAACTACGGTATTTACTCGGATATCAGTGTAGATGATTGTCGAAACTGGGTCAGTGCTTTGCAGGCTGTTCGAGGCAATGTTGATAGCAACGAAATCATGGTAGAGATCAGTGCGAACAACGGAGCAGGTGGAGAAGATGAACAGACGGATCACTATGGAGCAGCTGCTGCGTATCCAGGCAGACCACGTGCGAATACAGTTGCTGCTGTCAACGCGTACAAGGCCATGCCTGAGCGGTATAATATGCCACCAGACCTGCTGCCAAAGGTGGTTGTCATGTATGCACGCTGGCATCGTGTCCTGGAGCGAAGCTTGGAGAGTCTGGCAGAGCACTTCAACGTGAAATCCTTCAAACTAGAATGCGATATGACAGAGCTGTACGCACGAGCTCCAAAAGCGATGCGAAACCGATTGGGTGAGCTCGTCTTTGGTGACTACATCGATGAACTGCGATACAATCTGATGGACTTAGTCGGCAACGAACCTGTAGGAAAGATAGCGTTTGTGGAAGCAACACAAAAGAGAGTAATCAAGTTTCAGTATGGTGACCTGGAGCCTGACGAGGTGGTGAGGGCGCAACCAGTGAACGGCATCATTCGGCTCACCGTACCGGCGAAGCAACTCGGCAAGGGGGTCCACCTGACGGGCAAGCATTTCTTCGACAGGATTGTGGTTGGCGTGGACGACTTTGTGTGCGGTGGCCAGCTGAAAGGACTGCCGCTGCCCCATGCCATGGACGTGTGCAGAGCACGCAAGAACTGCACGGCCGCACTGCAGCGAGTCACCAAGCTTCTCTCGCTGGAAGTACCACTGCTCTTCAAGTGCAATTACCAGTCAGTACACAACCTAGCTGAAGGATATCTCGCAGTACGCTCGCACCTTGGCACCGTCATCATCAAAAACCTCCTGACGGAACTTGGCAATGCTGTTCACACGCAAGTACCCCCGTTGAAGCGACTATCTTTCGGCGGAATTATTACCGCTCATCGTGTTGTGTTTGAGATGGCAGATGATGACGATGCCAAGGAGACAGCCACGATCAACCACAACGGAGACCTTGTTCTGGCAGCTGGTCTCAAGAAGCTGCAAGAGCTTGCTGTGTACGGTCGGCCAGGGCATTTCAACCTCGCATCCCTGGTGAAGTTGTGTGGCGAGGAGAGCTCGATGTAAGTGCTCCAATGTCCACTTCGTCTGCTGTTGGCTGTGGGCGATGCATAATCCTTGGACGTAGTCAGTTACTAGCATCACAACTGCTGCCGCTGCTGCATTCGTACTCAGTGTGTTGGTTGAGTCCAGGTGAGTCGGCTGTACTGTGGTGGCACAGACTGCATGCCGCTTCGGACTATACAAGGGTGTTGTACTGCAGTGCAGCAGTTTGCTCATGCCTCATACTTGATCTCAGAACTTGGCATTGATGTAAAGGCTGCTGTTGATACAGACCCGGGGCAACACTGGCTCTGGCTTGTTTATACGCCATGATGATCCGTCTGCACATCCCATCCATAATTAGACACAATTCTGCTGGAGAAAAAATTACAATGCCGTCATTTGAAGAAGTGTCTGAAATCCACATAGCACAACAAAACTGTTTCTACTTTCAAGTATAAATTGAAAACACTAATGCTTATAGAGCTTGGGGTCCACTAGTGATTGCCATTATTATCTTGAATTTTGAATTCTGGACTATCAATTTCCCCAGAAACTAAGTACTCATGCTGGCCGATATTTGGCATTTCAAAGTGCAAAAAGTCAACTGTCTAATTAAACTGTTTATGTCATAACTGTCTGCATCCTACAGTAGGAGCATGGACTTTTCAATTGAATCATGCGTGTGCCGTGATACACATACTGTACTTCAGTACTATAGTCTATACTGTCAATTGTCTGGATGAACTGCGCAATGTCTAGTACAATTCCTTCTTCTTTTTTTCAGAGTGTAATCAGCTGTTTAGTCTTTCAATTTTCCATAACTATGCGTTTGCTGCTGAACCTGAAGTTTGAGAAGCTCCTCATCAGTGATGTCTGTAATCTGCTGACAATGTCCTGGTCTTAACCTCTACCTAGTACTACGTCACTAGGATGTGTTGAGCTGAATCCTGATGTTTGGATTACCTGCAAGTCTTGGTAAATAAAGCTAGTAGTGCTGTAGTACCACATGTACGACTGGTATCACAGTGGCAACTATGCTTCCTGTGCATGGGCCCTCTGTATTACACTGCTAACTTCACGTGCTGCTATGCCGATGAGTGTGCCGAGTGGATGAGTGTGTGCCGAGTGGATGAGTGGATGCCGAGTGGATGAGTGTGTGCAGATGGGCATGCATTTAATTCTAAAAAATGCAGTGAGTGGAGTGCTTACTGAGTCTGTATCCTCACAGTATCACCAGCACTACCTCGGTG